TTTATTAAACGTTTAATGAATCAAAATAATACATTTGAATAACATAAATCACTACGGATTTAATTGACTTTTTAGCACTAAACATTATTATTTCAAATTGATGTGTCAAAATGTATATTGTTTAGGTGTCAATCTTTCATGAGAGACACTTAATTATTATATATAGGATTATCCTTTTTTAGAACTCTATCTCTCTCATAATTTTTTTATTTTATTTTATGATATCCTTACTAAACTTTCAACTAAATAGCATACGTATAGAAAGTAGAAACAATATAGAAAAGGCAAATTATCTATAATTATTTTACAATTTTTGTTCTTAATGATTTTTTATTTTCTTTCAAGAAAATAGGACTATATAATGTGTATGTGTGTATAACTAATTAATCCCATTACATTTACGTCTAGATCTTGTTCATTGTGTGATCTTGTTCCTTACGTCAAAAACTTTTAGAAAATTGGACGTAAAAACCATGATTAGTGGTTTACCCGACGACTTGCTTGTGGAAATATTGTTACTAATCCCGATAAAAGAGGCTGTTGCTACCATGATATTGTCTAAACGGTGGCGGTCTATTTGGACGATGGTGCCAAAACTTGTGTACAAAGAGAGCAACAATGATGATTGCAAAAGCGTTTGGAATTTTCTTGATAAATCATTGCAACTCCACAAGGCACCTATATTACAAATAATTATTGTGGAACTTGGTCTTCAATGTCCTGTTGATGTTGATGTCGGAAAGTGGATTAAAAATGCGGTTGATCGCAAGGTGCGCAGGCTAATATTCGATCTCAACTGGTCTGCAAAACCTATCAGATTGCCTAAGAGCCTTTTCACATGTAATACACTTGATTGTTTGAGTCTATCCCACAAGATAGTTGTAGATATGGATTCTCCGTCTTGCCTCCCATCCCTCACATGTCTTTGTCTTCTCAATGTTGTGTTTAAAGAAGAAGATTCTCTGGTTTGGCTTTTATCAGGTTGTCCTATTCTCAAACTTTTGCATGTTGAACGACATAAAAAAGACAACGTGACGAACTTCAAATTGAAAGTATCTTCCCTAGAGATCTTGATGTATATGTATAGAGAGAGAAAATATGTAGAAGATACTGAGGGGTCTTTGGTTATCGATTGTCCTAGTTTAAAGACGATCATTATGTGGGATAAGTCAGGAGACTCTTGCTCGACTGGAAATTTACCTTGCCTTGATAAAACAAGTTTATCCGTTTTATGGCACCCTAGTGAAAATATTATGAGATCTCTTTCTTCCCTCAAACTTTTCGATATATATTTTGACAATATAATGGTACGTACCAAGTGATTTTGATTCTCTCTTTATCTCTTATCTCTACCGATTACCTATATAGTTACGTATCATTGCAGGTTGTGTGGTGCACCACCATTAACTTCTCTCAGCTAACAGAGTTGAGGATACAACCAATTGAGTTAGACTGGTTGGACCCACTTATGGTTTTAGTTCAGAATTCTCTGAAACTAAAGATGCTTCTTATTGACCAGGTCCGTACTCTTCTTTTACTTCAAACAAATGCATGCAATTTTGATGGACTAATAAATAAAAAATCATATACATTTTCTTGTTATCTCTCATGTGTATCTTATCAGAACCAACGACGTGAGGATTTCCTACTTTCTTGGAACCATCCGACTTCTGTTCCTAAATGCTTGTTAACTCATCTCCAAATCTTTGAATGGAATGGTTATGGAGGAAGAAGCCCAGAGAAGGAACTCGCGAGATACATACTTGCAAATTCCAAATGTTTAAAAAGAGTGGCAATTTCATTCACATCAATATGCAATCCTCAAGACAGAGAGAAGATGATGGATGAGTTAAACTTAATGTCTAAGATTTCAAAATCTTCTCAGCTTATGTTCACTACTATAATTTTGCAAGACACATATTATGAACGGTTTAATTAATCCATCATATAATTTTTTACTATTGCTATGCGAAGATATTTGAGTTTTTGTGTATTAGTATACTAGTCACAAACTTTCTCCATTTGCAATAAACTAACAGAAAATTGTTTATATACATGCTTTTTCTTACTTTGAGCTCAACGTTTGTTTAATTAGCTCCTTTGCAAATTTATAGCATACTCACACAATATGGATATTTAAGCCAATTAACTTATGTCTGGTTTTGTCAATTTTCTTCTATCTAATCACAAATATTGGCAACACAATTTCATATATTGTTAAAGGTACACGAACAAGACCCATTGTTACACAATCATTGCTTCAAGACAAGACTAATTAAGCTATGAATCATTGAATGTCTTCCATTATCCTCTGGCGGCACCAATCTAATTAATGCACAGTGTTCCCGTTTGTTCTGAACCAGCAACTCGAACCGATGACCTAGGAGTGTCATTTGCAATAACAATGGATATAGAGACATCAATTACCAAGTGAGAAAGAGGCAGCAAAAAAAACCAAGTGCGAGTTAGTTTGGAGGAAGTAGCTTCAATCGTTACTTCAGTGCAAAGGAATATGATATGGCAATAAGTCTGGTCAAGTTTTCGAGAATAATTTTTAGATATT